TGCGTTAAAGATGTCACTTCTATATCAGGTTTTCTTATGAAGCAGTCCGTCGTCTTCGGCTTCAATTCAATCCAATGTATTTTTGTATAGCCTTAAATCACAACAGCAGTAATCTCGGAGGAGTTTACAAAGCCGTCGATTCGCCGACACAGATCAGAGAATCAAACAGTTCAATCACAGCAAATGCAATCATAAAAAAACACATTCAGCCATTGGTCCATAAGGGGCAGATGACCAATGTCCACAAATGTCGGCAAAGGCAATTCTTCATCCTGAAAGTTACAGCAATCATAGATATTTTCTGAAAAAAATCACAAACTCGACTTGTACTTGGCTTAAAGCTGGGGTACATAACTTTTGTCCCCGCCCATAAATGACATAGAGTCTTATAAAAGTCACATCACACAACATGCCATCTTTAGTTAATTGAAAACACATGTTATCTTGGATACTTGTTAGAAAAATCACCACTTGACGTTTTGGGCTGAGAGCTGATTGGCTGAGTGAGGGTGGTCATCTCTTTTTTTTCCCTTTTCTGTCTGAAAAAAGCTGATGTAAAGATGTGACACACGGCAAAAATGCATGCGTTTGAGAATGGTGATAGAACCAAACCAAACTGTGTTGAGAGTTCTAATTTGAGGGGTTTGAAAGTTAGGTACCCCAGCTTTAAAGCGTGTCTATGAGTGAAATAAAGTAGCTTCATGCTGTTATTAGTTCAGCTTTAGTTATAACATGTAAAATGCTGTTTTGAATAGTTATTTTATGACCTTACTTAATTGCCAAGTTCCGTGAAATTCTCCGCTGTAACATCAACACACTTCTGTTTTTCATAAATATTCTAGTTTAATGTAATGAAAATATTAGCTAGTGGAATAACTATTATTGTGTTTCGCTCACAATACTCTCAAGTGACTAAGCAAGGCAGGATTCTGTTCAAAACCTCATTCACTATCGGCTCTCTGCTCCATAATGTGGTGAATGGCGCCCTCTAGAGGCTGCCGGTAGAACCACGGACATATGGTGGCTCGAATGGCAATAACCTAATTCCCTGTGCATACCAGGCCGAGGGCATCTCGTATTCACACACACCACATTAATTAACATACATTTAAATGCATCACCACAATCCTAATCCTTTGTTTACGACTTTTACCCCAAAAACAATCCAGATAACCGCCATCTCACTGTAAGCCTAATCAGATTGAACACAGTTGTGATATTCCCAAGCGCTGGTTCTCACACTGAGGAAAAGCAACGTTTTATGGACGTGGATTCACAGTGTACAGGAGATAATACGAGAAAGTGCAATTTAGTAACAACTTAATACAACAATTATTATTATTACTATTATCATTATTATTATACTAGGTTTAGGATGACACGGTTCACTTCTTGACTCCTGGTCTCAATCCCACACGTATCATATTCTGTCACTTTTGTGGAGAGTTGGTGGAATTTAATCTGTTTTAATCTATTGTTTTGATCATTTTTGGCACCAACTGCAGATTTGTTTGTCACATATTCTTGGATGTTCATCACACAACAGATCACTTCACACATTAAAAGTCATCAAGGCCAATGATATAGAATAGACATTTCAAACTCTGGCTTGTGGGCCCCTGAAATGATTTTTCAATTATTACTATTATTAACCTGGAGCATTGATGGTTATGGGCGACCAAGGCACGTACAGATTTGAACCCAACACATGATTAGAAGTTAGTTAAATATAAAATGTGTATAACTTTACGTTTGGTCCAGTTTTGGTTAAATTCATTCATTCATTCATTAAAATCAATGACGGAAGCGAGTCGCTGAACACACTGACGCATCAGCTCCCAATCAACACCATCCATACACATTCATACCGATTGTGCATGTTTTCAGAGGTAGGGGAAACCGGAGCACCCAGAGGAAACCTACGCAGACACAGGGAGAACATGCAAACTCCACTCAGAAAGGCCCCGTTCCGACCAGGATTCGAACCCAGGACTTTCTTGCTGAGAGACGAGAGTTCTATCCACTCAGCCACCGTGCCACCCATATAAATACCAAAATAATGTGAAAAAACTATTAGAACAAAAGGAAATATATTCAATTCTTTCGGCCCCCAATCACTTCCTCTTTTTCTTATTCGGCCCCTGACCACAGTTTGACACCCTGCTGTAGAATGTTTAGCCTCTGTTTATTATCTGTGTGTGTGTGTGTGTGTGTGTGTGTGTGTGTGTGTGTGTGTGTGTGTGTGTGTGTGTGTGTGTGTGTGTGTGTGTGTGTGTGTGTGTGTGTGTGTGTGTGTACTTATGTATGTATTATCAAAGTGTATGTGTATTTATGTGCGTATACTTTTGTGTCATATGGTTTTAATATGTCGTAAAAATCAGATAAGAAAGCAATTTTCGTCAGGAAGGAAATGAAATGGTCCATATTTGTATAAAATTGGTGATTAGTCAACACAAAACAAAGCAAATATCTGTAGGTCAGGGGTCTCCAACCAGTAGCTCACCATCCCCTTCAAGGTAGCTCACCACAGGATTTAGAAATGAACAAAATCAAATAGTAGACTTCATATTTCAAATGGTATTGTTCATTATCATTATTTATTATTGTAAATGCTCTTACTTTGTGCACTAGTAACAGATATGCGATGATAAATAATAACTGTTCTCAATATCAAGTTCGTTATAGCACAACATTTTTCCCAGGGCGGCTTAAAGGAGTAGCTCTCTGCCTGTATCGTCCCGGGAAAGTAGCTCTCTGGGTGAAAAAGGTTGGAGACACCTGCTGAAGGTATTATCATTCACTGTTTCAGACTTTTCCCCTGACTCATGTCTACTTTGTGTGTGCCGCTTGTCTATATCTCACCAAAACATGACTAAAGTGGCTCAGTTCCTTCATCAGTTGTATTTTGTCTCCTCCAAGTGGTTGAAAGAAATTGGTGCCATGAGTTTTGACATGATCTTGTTCTTTACTCTGTCCTGCGGGGTAATAATATGTTTTAGTATTACACTGCACAATCGATAAATGATGAGGTAATACATGCTTGAATCAAGGTATTTTTTTATTTTATTTTGAGCACATTCTGACAAAAACAAGATTTGCCAATGGGACGAAGCCATTTAGTATTATTTCTAGAACTGTTGCTTTATTTTCGCATTCCAAGAGAGACATTTCTTGTATCTTTTTAAAACAAGATTATTTTGCTTGTCCCATTGGTAAATCTTGTTTTAAGGCAGTCAAAAGATACTTTTTTTTAACAAATAGCAATTTTTTACTTATTTTTTATCACTTTTTGCAGCGTAAGCACTGAGGCGGGATATTACAAAATAAAAACAAAATAGTTGTAATCTTGCGTTGCATTTTTATAATTCTTCACAGTAAAAAAGTTCCTCGGGTTCGATTCTCGGTGGAGTTTACAATGTTCTTCTTGTGTCTGTGTAGGTTTCCTCCAGGTGCTCTGGTTTCCGCTACCACTGCGTTTGTGAGTGAGACTGTGGGACTAAGGACAGAACTGTTCCAGATTCCAATATTGAGAATACCTAACTCTAAATTGATTAATCTAGAGAAAAATACTTGTAAAGGCATGTCTTCAGTATTCCCAACTACGTAATAATGAGCAGGGAGGGTCAGTAACACCCACAGATACAGACATAAAAAAAAAAATACAGACAATACACACAAAACCAGACAATACACACAAAAACAGACAATACACACAAAAACAGACAATACACACATACCATTCGTTGACACTAATGCACAATCACCTGATGTTATTCATCAGCCGTATGGACTGAGGCACAAAAGAGTTCTTAAACCTGTTGCATTTGCACAGTGGGATCCTGTACCTCCTCCCAGAATGCAGCAGTTCATATTGTGAGTAGAGAACATGAGTGGAGTCTCTGATGATGTTCTTGGCCTGTCTAATCACTGACTGCTCAAAAATAGTCTGAGGTGAGATCAGAGTGGACAGCGACACTCCCATGATCTTCTCGGCTAGTTTTTGCAGCCTCTGGATCTGTCTTCATTGTCCATTTCCACACCAAGGTACCTATAAGACCAAACCTGCTCAAATATTTGTCCATGAATGAAGACGTCGCTAAGGTCTCCAATCGAACGAGGATCAGCAATCATCTCTTTTGTCCTGTTCACATTAACTTGTAAGTGGTGTGGCTACTGGTGTTAGAGCGGCTTATGTACAGACTCAATAAAGCGGTGTCATCAGAACATTTGATAATATACTGGTTGGCTAGCAAGCTAACACAGTCATTCATGTATAATGTAAACTATTCTCAACACCATCTGTATAAAACATAAGAGCTTTCATTACAGACGAGTAGCTGATGATAAAGAGACGGCTTACACTTACTTCCTTACCTAAAAATCCAACTCTCTTTGTCCTTTTCCTTGTGTTATTGCCCCGATATTCCCTGTTCAAGTTGAAGATTAAGACTGTTCCTGTCCATGTCACACTGCACAAAAAAATAATGAAATACAAGGTAATTATTGCTTGAATTTAGGGTTTTGTTTTTATCTTAATTCGAGTACATTCTGACAATATTTGCCAATAGGACCAAGCCTTTTAGTCTTATTTCAAGAACTGTTGGTTATTTTTCTCATTCCAAGGGAGACATTTATTTAATATTTTTAAAACAAGATCATTTTGCTTGTCCCATTGGCAAATCTTATTTTAAGAGTCAAAATGTGCTCAAATTAAGACACATTTTGCAGTATTTCAGCCCTTTTTGCAGTGTTTCCGCCAGTGAATGTATCAATCCTACAGTACTTACATAAATGCTTTGATCTATTCAGGAAAAATGCATGTTTTTACAGACTTTAGACAAAATGCATTAGGAAGAAATATGTTTTATTAGCCTTCATAAGAAATTCCAAAACTATCAGTGTCAGTTCATTGAAAGTGTTAAAACAACGTGATTCTAGAGCATTCACAGTATTTTTTATCACACACACGGAGCAATGGACCAAACTTCAAACTTCAAACTTCAGTTTTCTTTGCCCCAGTTTTTGAGAATAACTTCTGCTGCATCTATGGTGCTGTCTTGCTGCAAAAACAATATAAGTATGAATTAGACAAATCATGAACACAAAAGCCTCTAAAATACAAGGTGTAGATGTTGTACCTTTATGAAGCAAAGACGAATGTATTTCTCAAAATCTTTTTTGGACTCATCCCCAACAAATGCAGTTACAGGTATAGCTGCCAATTTCTAAAGTCAAAATAATACAGAGAATGTTATGTTAAGTCATTAGGCATTTTAGTCGTAGAGTAAAATGGGGCATAGGGTAATACTAATGGGGCATAATAATTATCAGTGGCAATATTTCTAGTCTTTTTTTTTTTTTTTCCATTTTATGTTTACACGACAAACAAAACCAACGGAGTCTGAGACAAGGAGTAAAAATAAAAAAACAAAATAAAAATAGTAAAAATTGGTTTTCATATGTCTTACCAATAATGCACAATATATAACTCTCATCCACCTTTTAAGTTTCAAGATATTCAATGGCATTCAAATGAAAACGCATCCCAAAGAATCCAACCCACAGTCCACCCATAGGGTACAGACCATTTAAACAATAATTTGGTTTCAAACTGTGTGCTGGGCCCCGGGCAGCACAGAGCGGGACAGAAGCAGACTGAACAAGCTGGTCAGGAGGGCCAGCTCCACTCTGGGCTGCCCCCTGGACTCTGTGGAGGAGGTGAGGGACAGGAAGCCCCTGGACTCTGGAGGAGGTGAGGGACAGGAGGCCCCTGGACTCTGTGGAGGAGGTGAGGGACAGGAGGCCCCTGGACTCTGTGGAGGAGGTGAGGGACAGGAGGCCCCTGGACTCTGTGGAGGAGGTGAGGGACAGGAGGCCCCTGGACTCTGTGGAGGAGGTGAGGGACAGGAGGCCCCTGGACTCTGTGGAGGAGGTGAGGGACAGGAGGCCCCTGGACTCTGTGGAGGAGGTGAGGGACAGGAGGCCCCTGGACTCTGTGGAGGAGGTGAGGGACAGGAGGCCCCTGGACTCTGTGGAGGAGGTGAGGGACAGGAGGCCCCTGGACTCTGTGGAGGAGGTGACGGACAGGAGGCCCCTGGACTCTGTGGAGAAGGTGACGGACAGGAGGCCCCTGGACTCTGTGGAGGAGGTGAGGGACAGGAGGCCCCTGGACTCTGTGGAGGAGGTGAGGGACAGGAGGCCCCTGGACTCTGTGGAGAAGGTGAGGGACAGGAGGCCCCTGGACTCTGTGGAGAAGGTGAGGGACAGGAGGCCCCTGGACTCTGTGGAGAAGGTGAGGGACAGGAGGCCCCTGGACTCTGTGGAGAAGGTGAGGGACAGGAGGCCCCTGGACTCTGTGGAGAAGGTGAGGGACAGGAGGCCCCTGGACTCTGTGGAGAAGGTGAGGGACAGGAGGCCCCTGGACTCTGTGGAGAAGGTGAGGGACAGGAGGCCCCTGGACTCTGTGGAGGAGGTGAGGGACAGGAGGCCCCTGGACTCTGTGGAGGAGGTGAGGGACAGGAGGCCCCTGGACTCTGTGGAGAAGGTGAGGGACAGGAGGCCCCTGGACTCTGTGGAGGAGGTGAAGGACAGGAGGGTGCTAGTCAAAGCCACCTCCATCATGAACAACACCTCCCACCCACTGCACAGGACTGTAGAGGAGCTGAGGAGCTCCTTCAGTGGAAGACTGAGGCACCCTCAGTGTAAGAAGGAGCGCTACCGCTGGGCCTTTATCCCCACCGCTGTCAGACTGTACAATAAGTCACTTTAAGTCACTGCACTAAGACTGAAAAGAAACCTGCACTACTATTGACACTTCTTTCTAATTGCCACTTTTTCTTTGTACATAATATATCCTGCATTAACATGCTGCACATTTCTTACTTTTGCACAATTCTCGAGTGTTCCTATCCTTGCCAATGTGACATGTAAATTTCTCCTGTGTGAGATTAGTAAAGTTTTATCTTATCTTATCTTAAAAAGGTCAACTTTTTATTGTTTAGATCCAGGACTCAGAACGATTGTACTCATCCGCACAATTATTTCAGTTTGACCGTGAATGGGTTTTTAATGTAATATGACCACAGACTAACCTCGAGTTTGGTTTTTGCATATTATTTTTCTAAATCACAGGTGAATATGCTTCACGCCAGGATATCTCAGTTTGTCACTTGTTTAGATGTATAAAACTCTGCCCAAAAGTCCAACACACAGACAAAAGCTAAAACATACCTTTTCTTTGATCATCCATTTCACAAATTTGTAGTCATAAGCTTCGTTCTCCATGTGAGAAAGGTCCAGGTCTGCATTTAAGCACAAAAAGCGACATGTATGAGTTAAAGACATGCACTATTGTTAGGTAGATAGGTAGAAATGTGTATAATTGATGGATTTATGTGTTTATATGGATGTGTTTTCTGCTGCTGGACACCTGAATTTCTCCCATAATAAAGTCTACCTAACCAGAAGAGACACAAATTACCTTTTTCTGTGGCATACATATACAGGTCTTGTTGACTGTTTTATTGATTTCCTAGTGTTGCTCAAATTCTGTTTAGGAGTGCCTGGATAGTCTAAATGAGAACAGAAACCACTGGACACGTGCTCTACTGACGGACCATCCACAGCCCCACCACATGGTTGTTGTAATAAGGTTAAGGTATATTTCTTCCATTCATGTTGGAACATTTGCCCTCTGCGTTTGACTTTTACAGGTCGGGTCAAATACAAACCTGGAGTACCAAAGAGCGCCACAGCATGGTGCCTGATTCAAGTACCGCCGTAGTGAGTGTAGAAACAGTGCTTTTGTCCTGAGACTCAGACACAGACGGACTTTGACTGAATCTCAAATATGATCTTATGTTCTAGACTTCAGACTTCACCCTTACCATTGGGTCTTTTTCTCCTTTTGAAGCCATCACAAAGAGCATTGTAACTGACTATTATCTCTTCACCTCATGACCATCACCTGACATAACACTGCCCGGCTTTAATGGTGCAGCTTTTGTGTTGTTATTATGATAGTAATGTAATGAATAACAGTGAGATCGCAAATATTCAAAATGATTATCCTCAGTTGGCATAAATTACAAGTAAAAGTATACAACAGACTGAATACTCCAAAGAATATGGCTTAAAATAGTTTGGGCCGTAAATAAGAAAAGGGGTCCGTGTGTTGCCTTGACTGCGTGAATGATAAGCTATTTCTGGTTTATGTATAAACTCACTGAGAGGAGACACGTCCACGAGCATGAAGTACCCCCCTTCGGGTAGGACTGGAGTCATCCCCGCGGCCTGGACGATGGAGGCCATGCGGTCCCTCTTGTCCTGCAGCTCCTCTGCCAGGGAGCTGAAGTAGCAGTCGGGCTGTCCCATCAGAGAACAGTCCCGCAGCAGACCCTGAGCCACGGCCTCCTGCACCAAAGCAATGTACAAAGTGAATCCATCTCATTACTTATTATTTTAATTCTACTGTCTTTTATCTTAAAAATTGACACTGTTTGATGTGTGCAATCTGAGTGCTTTTATTTCCTTATTTTTCTCGGCTGTAATGTGCACAACAATGACACTGAAATATTTTATCTTTTCTTACTAGTACATTAACCCTTGTGCTATCCTTGGGTCAGACCACAATGTCTTTTGCATACTTAAAAAAAGATTCTTGTGAGCTTTGGGCTGAGAGCTGATTGGCTGAGTGACGGTCTTCTTTTTCACTTGTCTGTCTGAAAAAGTGGATCTAAAGCTGGGACAGAAGCCAAAAATAAGAAAAATAGACATAATACCAACTGTTTCAAGAACTGGCAACATAAGATGAATTGTTTTACATCGTTAAAGATGCAGTCAGTGATTTTTTTCCAGACGCATTTTTTTAAATATTGTGGGAAAACGGGCCTAAACCTTAAAAGTAGTCAAGTTATCATGTGTTTTCAAATAGTAATGGAATTGACCAGATGCCTATAGTCTCCAAAAATGTATAACAATTATTTTGGAGCAGACCGATAATAATTAACCAATGGGATTTGTTCATCCCCAATGAACCAATGGGATGCGTTTACCCCCTTCACCTTCTTCCTGTTTCTCGCGAGCCTAAAAGGGCTGAACAGAAAAAGCCAATTTCACGTTTGCCATCCACTCTCCCTGTTGTGCCAAAGAAAAGAAAATGCTGGATGGTTGGTTTGGTGGAGAGGCGAGGGGAGGGAGGAGTGGTTTCGAGCTGGTGCTACGGCTAAGCTAACAAAATCACTCACTGCACCTTTAAGTAGTGTTTGTAGTGGTAGTTCATTTGAATGTGAGGTACTGGAGCATGATGTGTGTTACCTGCAGAGGAGTTGGACAAGTGTAGAGAGAGTTTTGCATCACGGTCTGCAGGTGTTTCACCAGGTGCTCCGGGCCGATGGTCCAGCCGAGCTTCAGGCACAGACATACAGTGAGTCACGTAATGAAAGCAAAAAGCAGAACGTGCAGAAAAGTCTTTGGTTTTCCTCACCTTCCACCCTGTGACGCTAAAAGTTTTCCCAGCACTGCCGACAGTTATGGTTCTTTCCCACATCCCTGGTAACGTGGCTGTGGGAATATAATCATTTGAGAAACAATACTTGAATGTTTTTCTTATATGTAAGATTTTTATGTCAAGTTATCATTGAATAGCCCTAAATCATTAATAAACCATGGTCTGTTCCAATACATCTTTAACTGATAATAGTAGTTGAGCCAATATATTTGAATTTCAAAATTAGTTTTACAGCCCCTTGTTATTGTTTTCATTTCTATGTCCCGCCCTCCACCGCTTAACCAATCAGAAAGAAAGGCTGTGATCCAGGTTACCAGAACTCAGCAAGTCAAGCTAATCTCACTGGTAAAGCAACATGTGGCCGCAGAACTAAAAAAGGTCCCGTTCTGTTTCACAAATCAAAAATATCAAAATAAAGATTTATATCAAGGATATTGCGAAAAAAGGTGTTGGTTATAGATTTGTTTTTGACCAAACTCTTGTGTATTCAGTTAATATGGTCCCAGCTGGATTTGTCTGCATATCTGGCAACCTGAGTCAGGGAGAGTGGGAGAGGTTGCAGTACCACTTTTTCCAGATTTTCACATACTGCTCCTTTAAAAGCTAATGTCAGCCGTTTCAAATTGTACGGACCTGTACAAAACCCACCTGTTGAATACTGCCAACACTGAACTGTTAATATTTAGCTTTTAATTGATTTATTTTTGTACTTTTTAATTAATCCGTCCTTTTGTGGCTCCACCTGCATAATTTCAATTAGAATAGTAACTGACATCCCCTTTAAATGGCATCGCCGAATAACTAACTTCTAACCGATCTTGACGTGCTGGTGGCCTTTGTAAATGAGCCACTCGTAAACCTCGTCGCTGAAGCACAGAGTGTCGTGTTTGATGCAGAGGTCAGCGATGGTCTGCAGCTCGTCTCTGCTGAACACCTGTAAGAGGAACACGTTTCTAACAGACAGTCTGCAGAGTCACGTATCATGCATTGTACTTTTTCTCAAATATAACAATTAAAGATCGACTGATATGGTTATGGTTATGGTATGGTGGATCAAAGGTTAATTTTATTTTTTTTATGGCTGCAAATTATCATATTGCTGCCTCTTGGCCAGGACTCCCTTGAAAAAGAGGTCCTTAATCTCAATGGGATTTTCCCTGGTTAAATAAAAGGTTAAATACTTTTTGTTTTGTTTATCAAGGGGTAATGCTAATGCGCTAGTTAGCAGTTAGGACATTTTATTATAAAATGCCTTCATGGATATTGATGGGTGTAGGGTTCTTTTGTTTAGAGATCAACTATTTCATTTGTGGTTATTATTGGGTATTTTGAACAATGACTTGTATTGAATATGTGTTTGAATATTATTGTTTGGTAGGTACAAAAAATGGTTCTATGGAGTACTATGGACTTATTTACTTTTATATATTCATTATTACTGATTACGTTGTTTTGTGATCGTTGTTTAGAGTATAATAAATGATGTGGTGTTCGTGAGATGAGGTATAACATGCCATGGTAGCATTTCAGCAAGATAACAAGGGCCAAAAGTAAATACATCGGTCGATCTCTAAATGCAATGATCTGTGTACATAAAGACACAGAGAAAAACAATGAATCTGGTTCTGTACCTTCCCAATAGGATTGTTGGGTGTGTTTACTATGATGGCTTTTGTCTTTGAGTTAAATTTACTGGAAAGTTCCTCTGGATCCAGATACCAGTCAGCACTAGTGATGCTCTTCTTTCCAGGTTTCTAACAAAGAAAATACATTAACCAGTTTTTCCACACGGCTAAAACACAAATATGAAATACTCACAAGGCGAAGTGGTATCATGACCGGTTTGGCCCCAGCCATCCGGACCATCGGCTCGTAGCAGTCAAAGAAAGGTTCTATTATAATCACCTGTTCAGAAAAAGACAGATATGAAGCTCACTCCATATACTATACGTCAGGTGTCTCCAACCTTTTTCACTCCGAGAGCTACTTTTGTGGGACGATAAAAGAAGAGAGCTACTCCTTTAATTCAAATGTCATTCATGTATATTATATGTATATCAGACTCTTCTCCACACACAATTTAACAAGTGAATGAATCAAACCAATTAAAACAATAGCACAAAAAAGATTTAAGGGCTATATATTCCACTTTTTTTTTTTATGGATATCATTCCATAAATAAAAATCCTCATGGGAAACACTGCTTAAAGCGGCTCTGGCAAACATGTGGTGATAGAATTGGTGTGAACAAGATATTAGCTACAGTCATTATTTATCATTGCATATTTGTTACTAGTGCACAAAGTAAGGGCATTTACAATAATACATATTATAATAATGATAATGAATAATACAATCTGAAGTATTACGCACATTATTTGGTTTGTTCATTTCTAAATCCTTTGGCGAGCTACCTGGAAGGGGATGGCGAGCTGCTGGTGGCTCCCGAGCTACAGGTTAGAGACCCTTGCTATACGTCATCAATTTGACTATAGTTTTTACCTCGTCCCCCTCCTCCACCAGGCCCTGCATGGTGCAGAATAAGGAGCCGTATCCCCCAACAGTGACCAGGATGTCTTTGAGAGGGTCAATAGATCTCCCATAGACTTTTCCATACACCTGAGACAGTGCCTTCACCAGAGCGGGATGGCCCTTCATAGAAAAGAACAGCAGGATTACATCTGCAATCTTTTAAAGCTAAACAATCACTTCAAACAACCTGGAAACAATATGAAAGAAGATATTAGTATATAGTAATATGGTTGTGAATAGTGAGGGAGAGGTACACTCAGCCATGGGTTCCTATACTTTTCAGGCTGAGACTCCACTGCAACATGTGTGTAGCTTGATCTAAAGCTGCATTTTGTTGGTTTTGGATAATTAAAATTAAAAAAGATTTAATTGAATAGCATTTGAATATGACGTATTTTGTAGAGTTGGCTACATCCTCACAAAACGTCAAGATGGATGGGAACAAGATTCAGCAAAGAATTTTAAATAGCGAGCTATAGCTGCTCTAAATATAAAAATAAATAGGTGATTAGAAATATTTAAAAAAATATATATATTTTTTATATTATACACTTTGATGAGAATGACTTTGCTTTCCTAATAAGGGCTGCAGAGTCACATGTTTGTTTCAGTTTCAGGTGGTGGTGTGCCATGTGTGAAAAAAGTGTGCCACGGCTCAAAAAGGTTGGTGAATACTGCAATCAAACATCAGTGCTGTGAGTAGGGGTGGGCGATATGGCCTAAAATTCATATCGCGGTATGATTTGGGTCACAGACGGTAGACGGTATACATCACGGTATAATTTGGTGTGTGAATTTCAATATAGGTTTAGCAGGTTCTTGCATAAAATAGTCAAGATTGTTACTTATCTATACATTAGAATCTGATATATATTTTTTGAGTTTGAAAATCAGGTCAGAGACAAATGCTGTAACATACATTATTTATGTATGTTACAGTAAAGACCATTAACTGTGAAAGCAATTTTAAATAATATTAAAATATATTATATAATATCTGTAGCAGTTAGACATGGTCATTATTTATAGTGTCAGAGTTTAGTGCGTATGCATGGCTTCAGTAAAAGCTATTGTTCGTTTACAAAGCTAGTCTTGCCATTTGTTGACGCTCCCTAAGCGCTTGCTGTGAACTGGATGATTCAATGGATTTATCTGCATTAAAACAGCGCATTTGATTTGAACAATTGATGTAAATGCTCATTTTGGCACAATTAATTTTGTTTAACAAAGTAGCTTTCGTGATCTATTGACCGCGGAAGTCTGAATCGGACGCTAACTTTACAAAACTTCTGAGATGATGCGGACACGGCACAAGCATGGATCTATTTCGGCTCACGATGGCGCTTCGAGCCTACGCCCCTTTGACACTCATTGGCCGAAAGGTAGACATGTAAACTGTGATTGCTGTGTGTGTATTTACCTCCGCTGGGGCCGCTGTGACCAATACAGAGACAGAAACACGGTGTGAAAGCCGTGCTGTTGTTTCCAGTGGTGTCTGCTAGGCTAATGTGCTAGGCTAATGCTGCTGAATGCCGGTTTGTTTTGGTCCTTTCTGCTGGCGTCAGAGCCTGCGCAATTTGATGACATAATGACCTATCGCAATATGCCGGTATAACAAAAATCTCTACCGTGGGCCAAATTTATATCGCATACCGCTTATACCGTTTATATCGCCCAGCCCTAGCTGTGAGCCTGTAAATATCAAATCTGTAAGATCAAGCGTCTTAGACAGTTGGTTATGAATTAATGATGCACAAAATGGTAAGGCGTCTTTGTGACTTTGTGTGATATTACTATCATTATGTGATAGTTTCAAAATATTAATAATTTCTTATGATAATATGAGGACTGGAACTAGTGATTACTACTTCCTTACAAATCCTCTGGTGTACTGGTTGAGTCGGTCCACGGTGGAGGCCTTGGCCAGGGCCTCTTTGACATAGGAGGGAGGGGGCAGGTCTGGAAGTCCCTGTCCGAGGTTCACGATGGACGGGTCGGCTGCCACTGAGGAGAAGGCCACCCTGAGACCAAACACACCCCCAGGCACAAGTCAAAACAGAACCAGAAATACAAAAAAATGAATTTAAAAAAGAAAATAAAAACTTACCACACATTTTTGTCCAATCCTTCTATTCTTTTAGCGTTTGTGTGACGTGTTGCCATTTTGTGCTGGAAACATAGCAAATATTAAACATAAACATTCCCTTCAGGGGGACCCTTAACAACTGTCCAGGGACTACAAATGAAAAATAGCCCTTTGGCTAATTCTGGCATATTTACATGCATAATGAATGTATGCACTGTCCCTTTAATAAATAAATAAATAAATAACTTGAAATATTTTTATCAGTCGAAAATATAAGGGATCTAATTGAACATGAGATCACTTTCTTACTTATTTATTTTAAAGAATCTTACGGAGACACATGCAGCAGATACATTTAAGAGCACTGCCTTTATTAGATATGTATATAGAGCATGCAGGCTACGCTCTTATTTTGTTTGAATATACAGTCCCTCGATGCACGCAATTTATTGTTTTGTTTTGCTACGTGAGACAAAAACAGAACATTTTAAATGCTCAAGGTGAAAAAGTATATTTCCAGTATATGTGATAGTATTCAAAAATTAAAGTTAGAGTGCATTCACTTGCTTTGGCACATATTCAAGGCAATACGTGACACTTTTGAAAGCTCAGTGGGGTGGAGGGCAACGGGAACCAAACCAATCAGACTGGTTTGAAATCTCCTGAGTCCATTTTTTTCAACATATTCTTATCATATGCTTTGAAAACAAACTGGAAGATAGCAACTCTGTGAGAGGAGGCAGAGATTCAAACCCAAACCCAGGAAGAGCCTGATAAAGGTGTCCAAACCTTTTAGTAAGAGGGCAACTTGGATTGTAAAACAGACAACATGGATTGTAAACAGCAGTTTTTATGGGATTCAGGCTGTTCTGGAATTTCAAATGCACATAAAAGGTATATTATGTCGCCAAACTTGCATGTGAAAGCCAGATCCTTTCCTCTGAAGCTATACAAGGTAGGGCCTGGTTAGTACTGTGATGGGAGACCTCTGAGAACAGTGTTCCAGAGCGAGGTGGCTGCGGCTGTAAAGGGCAAAGCTGTTGTTGTGTCTTTAGGCAAGACTCTTCACCCACATTGAATGAGTCTGTGTGAATGGTTGGTGGTGGTCAGAGGAGCTGATGGCACATACTAGTTGCCTGGCTTATGTCGGTGTGCCCCAGGGCAGCTGTGGCCACATTAGTAATGTATCACAAATGTGTATAAAGTAAAAGAATAATGACATGTGAAGCGTCTTTGAGTGTCCTGAAAAGCTATATAAAAACTGATGCACTATATTGATTCACACCTCAGCTACTGTACATTAGTGCCATTTATGGGATTTTGTGAAACAATCAAAAGGAAATGTCAATATATACAAATAAATGTTGAATTAAAATGTATTCCACTGGGTCTGAGCTTTACAACAAGGAGCTGACGTTTGCTGGAGGACACTATGACAGTACCTCAATGGCTACTTAGGGTTAGCGAGGCAGAGAGTCTTAGTTTGGACATGCAGGGCCTGATCCAATAGGCTAAAAGGTGCACTCTGTTTAACATTGCTGTAGGAAAGTTAAGTTGTTCCTGCACACGACTGACCTTTAATCAGTGCAGTGCATTCACTTGCTTTGGCACATATTCAAACAGCACTAGAAACTGCATGGCAAATCACGTTATACAGGTAGAAAACTATCATTGGTGAAGTAACATCTAAATAAAAAAATACATGCCAAAGTCATAGTGAAATATGTATGAATATGAATGAACCATAATCCTGCATGCTTACAGTATGGTTTCCAAAGAGATCTATACATTTATTAAAAACTGAAGATTATAAAAAACACAACATTTCCATAAGTATCAGTAATGTGTGTGGAAATGCAAAGACGAACAAATAGAGTCAAAACAATGTTGCATGCTTGCTATAACATTAACTTCTATTGCACAGTGGCAATACGCAAAGTGATTCACACATAAGCAACTTTAGTAATTAAATGCATTACTTACAAACCATTACAAATATGTAGAGGGTTTGCTTTTTTTATGAGATCATTTCCCCACCACAAAAAAATCAATACTATTTGTTAAGCAGGATAACTACAGCAGACTAACCTGTGAAGAACTCAGCCTCCTGCAGAATGTTGTGTTGACAAAGCTTGATGTAAACTTAGTGACGTTTAGGGCTTGTCTTACCACCATCCTATGAAAATAATTAGTAAAAGTAAATGTTGTGTTGATCCATTTACTTTGACCACACCTGTAATTACAAACAGTCATAATAATTGCATCATTGTGTGTCTCTCTGGCACTTTATTATTTTACAGCCGAGCATATTTTACAATCCCACTACTTTTATAAGATGTTTCCAAAGTCAGGACTAAACACAGGGATCCAGGGTTTCAGATTTATGTAGCTGAACTTTGCTTGCCTTGCTATTTACCCTTTTTTTGTTTAGTAAGTCTTGGGGGAGGTAAGATGGGAAAGATACCACTGACATTTTTGATCAAAATGCTTCAAAAACTTGTAATTTATTATTATTGAATTCCTCAGCACGTTTTCTATTCAAAAACACAAAGATATGTAATTTAGTCCGTTTAACTCATCTATTTAAGTGATCACCAAGACAGAAGAAAGCATTATTACAGTGCTATGTCACCGTGGTTTAAACAAGTCTGCTAGCTTACACCGCAGCTTGTCATTGACAGTCTATTTATAGCTAACTAACGCTACGTCTTGTGCATATGATCAATAATAACGTATAAAAGACCTCATACCACGCAGAGCCACACGGCCACAGGAGGAGGAGTGGATATGAGCGGGACTTACTTGAGGAAAAACCGGAGTTCGTCGGGTTTCTGCAGATTTGTTTTGGTTCCGCGTTGAGGGCGTGCGTGACGGCAGCCAATGAGAGGGCGCGCTGCGTTCACGGCATTCGGAATTTACAATACTACTATTCTTTTTTCTGTATATATTATACTGTATGCTTAATATATGTGTATAAAATGTCTGTGCTTTTCATGTTGTTTGTTTCTGTTGTTTTGCTTATTTTGATCAATACAAAAAATTATAGAACAATAATGAAGTACGCCAACTAACAATGTGTAAAGTGAGCATCCTTGAATAAAACGTAGCAAGATAAGGTTCATATGGCACTAACATGTCACGTATGTACTTTGGTGCAGGGCCATGGAGAGACTTGTACACAAGCAGCTTTAAGTATATTCTCTGAGCCACAGGAAGTGGCTAACATGTAGTGGTAAGTTGTAGTTCTACATATCCAAATCATCCACGATACGTTATCATTTTTAAACATTTACTGTATATTTCAAACAAGAGAAAGTCCGATCCTTCTTGGGCCTTGCTGGGTGGTATTGGAGGTTTGTTCTGCAATTCGCCACAATCACAGCCCCACTAACAGCTTTAATCCAAGATAAAAAAAGAACCCTGTAACATGGACAAAAGATTGTGAAGAATCATTTATTGTTTTCAATAATCTGCTCTGTTTCTTCTCCCTTTCTCCGCAGTCTAGATTTTGACTTTCGGCTTCTCGTCCAAGTAGATGCCTCGAAGTTGGGTCTGGGAGCGGTACTGACCCATGGAGAGGATGGAGCAGAGCACCCCATCCTGTACCTGAGCCACAAGTTGTTGCCCAGAGAGTCCTGCTACTCTGTGGTAGAAAAAGGAAGGATTAGCCATTAAGTGGGAGACTGACCATAGCCCTGACATGGATCATCACGATGAAAGACAATGTACGACTAACTCGATGGTACCTCTCGTTGCAGTCCTTCAAGTTTACTGTTTGCCAACGATTTGGTAGCCAACTACCTGTCCAGGTTGCCAAAACTTGGTCTTGATGATAGGCACCTCGCAAATCACTTAACTGTTTGTCGATCCCATTCCTTATCAGTCCGCTGTTTCCATCCACGGTTCGATTCATCCATCCCAGTAGTCTTGGGTGCACACAAGGCCTCTGGTCGTCATGGTGCTACGTCCCTTAGGACTTCACTAGTGGGATATCACGTGACCCCCAGGTCACACGCTAGAGAGATCAAATATATATATATATATATATATATATATATATATATATATATATATATATATGCTCCAATCACTAGCGACCCTCCTCTATAAAAGCCCCTGCACAAGGCCGCGCCCCCTCTTTCACTCTGGCGCCGATTGAGATCATACTTACATCTACTACATCTACTTTGTCTGCTGAGTTGTCTGCCTCGACTGCTCGTCCGATTTCCCCTTTGCCCTCCGGCGTCGGACGTCGTCGTTGCTTGGAGTGTTGGGTCAGGCTCCCGCGCACGGACCAGCATTCACGCTGTTTCTTGTGCCTGGGCTCGGGCCATGCAACGGAGAGCGCTAGCTGCGCCTCGTGTCTCACTCTCCCCAGAGAGGAGAGTGAGCGCAGGCGTGCGTTCTCCGGTGCTCCAGCGCCCCGTCCGGACTCTTCTCAGGACGAGGAGTCTGAGATTGATTGGGCCCCACTCGACCTTCCTCCCGTGCCCGCGGACGAGTGGGACCTGGCCCCGCGGATAGCTGCAGAGCTCTGGCGGAGGTTCGGCCGCCCAGTAGTCGACCTTTTCGCCAGTGCAGAGAACGCACAGTGCCCATCCTGGTTCGCCTTAAGCCTAGCGTACATCGACAGAGAAACTGGGGACAACTAGTTGCAAGGCGGCTTTTGGCAACTGAGAGGAGATGGTGGGAGATGATCAGTTGCCAAAATCGGTCGATGTGCGCGCTCTTACAACTGGAGATGATCAGTTGGTCTCCAGTTTCAGTCAGTTGCCCGTGTTCTACTTTTCGGCAACTAGTTGTCCTCAGTTTCGGAGATATGACCCGATGTGCGCGCTCCATGCGCCGCTCCGACAACGTGTGTGTATTGCGTGTATTGCGAGCCCGCAACAGTTTATGTCAGAAAACACACTGTAGTTGAGGCCAGTTGCTGTCGATGTACGCGCTGTTATTCCCGAGACTGGTCTGCTACTGGGAGTTGCCCGTTTTCGTCAGATTGTCGATGTGTGCGGGGCAGCAACTCATAGGCGACGGATATAATCAGTTGCCAGTCCGATGTACGCTAGGCTTTAAGGGCCGCGGACGAGCCGCCCCTAGGGGTGGACGCCCTGGCTCACTACCCGTGGCCAGGGGGCCTTCTGTATGCTTTTCCACCAGTTCGTCTCCTGCCGGTCTTGCTGCGGAGGATCGAACAGGAGGGGAGGTCGGTGGTCCTGGTGGCTCCGGACAGTCCACATGCCCGGTGGTTCCCCGTGGTGGTGATGGAGCCTTGGGCCCTCCCGGACGAGCCGGGGGCTTTAGTCCAGGGGGGGGGGGGGCTGTACTCACGCCCGATAATCGGCCGCAGGCTTTGGGCTTGGAGGCTGAGAGGCGGAACCTCGTAGACCTGGGTCTCCCCCCGGCGGTGGTGGAGACTATTCAGGGGGCGAGGGCGCCTTCCACGGTGAGAGCCTACACTACCAGATGGAGGCTCTTCAGCGACTGGTGCGGTTCTCGCTCCTGGGATCCCAGGCGTTGCCCCCTGGAGGGAGTCCTGGGATTCCTGCAGGAACTCTTTGCCAAAGGGAGGGCTGTCGGTACCCTGGCGGTGTTCGCGGCAGCCATTACCTCGGGTCACGGTGGTTTTGGGGGGTTCACGGCCCGTTCCCATCCGTTGGTCAAACGCTTTTTGCGGGGGGCTCGCAGGAGGAGGCCCCCGCTTCAAAGAACGCCCCCGGTTTGGGACCTCAGGGTGGTCCTCAGGGGTCTGTCTGGCCCGCCTTTTGAGCCGGTGTTGGAGGCGAGTCCCGAGTGTGTGGCTTTTAAGACTGCTCTCCTGCTGGCGCTGGCGTCTGCTAAGAGGGCGGGCGACTTGTGTGCGCTCTCCGTCCATGCGTCTTGCCTGTCCTTTGGAGAGGGTGACGGTCTGGTGGAGTTGTGGCCCAATCCGGCTTTTCTCCCTAAGGTCACCACTTCGGCCTTCAGGTCGAGAGTGATCAGGATTAGGGCTTTCCATCCGCCGCCGCATGCCTCGCCGGAGGAGGAGCGGCGGCACCTTCTGTGTCTTGTCAGAATGCTTAGGCATTACCTGGCTATGACATCTTCCTTCAGGTTGGTTGATCAGCTGTTTGTGTGTCTGGGCCCCAAGAACAGGGGCGCCCCGCTGTCGTCTCAGCGGCTGGCGCACTGGGTTGCCATGGCTGTGCGGTTGACGTACTGTAGGTCCCATTCCGTTTTGTCGCCTTTCACGCGTGAATCACACGAGACTCACGTCTTTTATTTTCCCCCCTCCCAGTGACGTTGCAATGACCAAAACAACCACCAGGTGGCACTTGTGAGCAGGGTTACATTGGCGAGTTTCTGCCCCGCACATCGACAATCTGGTTAAAACGGGCAACTCCTTGTAGTCTCTGGAATAACCCGCAGACATTAAAACTACTGCACACTGAGAAAAGTGTTGCAAGTGCACCTTTGAACCTAAGTACTTGTATTTGCAATTTCGGACTTAAAATTTATTCTTATGGTTTTAATATTAGAAAAATAATTTCCATTTACTAAAACAAAAACAATATACCCACAAATACGTTTTGTGTGTGTCACAGGGTAGACGCACAGCGCACTTTGTTTTTATGCATGCTTTTATTTTGAAATGTGTTTTGTGTGCCGCACTGTGTGTTTTTACTTCCTGTTTTTTAGCCTCACACCTGTGGCAGCTTCCACTGATTTTAACGAATGGACATAGACACTGGGGGCTGGAGCCAATGAGAAAAGGGTTTTTAAACAGACTATGGGAGAGGAAGAAGGAGAGGACACCGGACTGGGCCAAAGGACAGGCACCGCCAGCCAGAGACCACGGGGGACTGAGGCCAGCGGGGAGAGCGGCACCGGTGATGGGCGCGCATGGAAAGCGCAGAGAGGCGTGTGTGCACCGGGCTAGGCCCAACATCACGAATGGAATGTGCCCGCTCTCCCCTGCGTGTGCCCAGTGGCAACCCGTGGGCGGCAAGTGGCTGGCGAGACTGCGGCCCCGTCCCGGGCAGAAAGAACACAGGTTGACGACAGAGCGTCTTGGGCGACCGAGGAGAGGAGGCAACGGAGAACGGCAGCAGCAGTCAGCAGTACCTGCACAGGACCCACGGAAAGCCAGAGCGCGACGCGGACTACACTGTTGGAATATTAACTCCTGCACCAGTTAAAAACTAAAATCAGTTTAGTATTGTTTCTGTTGCCAAATTAGCACTTGTTTGTGTAAATCTCAAAGAGCAGTGAGTTCAAGGTTAGTCTGAAATGGGAGGGGGACAAGAGGGAGACAAGTGTTATCAGAGCAGGTGCAAACGTTGGCAGCTGGCCAGAAGGAGTCGTGGAGTCCATACAGTTGTGATGTCATTGACCTTGGATGTAAAGTATAAATGTATGTGCAGGAGTGGTCACGAGAGACTTTTTGCTTTTTCGTCTGACAAGGAGCAGTGAGACGTCCCCGGGGGCCACTCCTTATCTGAACGCGAAGCGAGATCTGTTCGCGGACCGTTATCTTGTAATATTGCTTGCAAAATCTTCAATATAACCTTTTTGAAATCAGGTTTGGTATCTGTCATTTCTATCACTGTTTTAACATTGGTTTTTGTCTCTTGTTGAACTAAAAGGACCTGCAGAACGAAGGGCTGTGTTTGCGGCCTCTCTGCAGCTTCTGGGGCGGGGGAATTCTGACAAATTACTGCAGAACTTGGCGTCGCTCGAACAGGATTTCGACAGGAGACACTAGGACCGGTCAGAGAAAAGATTAATTTGGCGCCAAAGTAAAACGGTAAGATTGTTACCAACTAATTAATCTTTCCTTTCACCTGACCTGAGACCTAAAAATAAAAAATAAAAACAAACAAACACCAAGTAGGGTAAATATTGAAGGATTTGCAAGTATTTTATATTTTATTGGGATAATAGTATTCTAAGTCTAAGTGACGTAAGAAAAGGAGAAAACTGTGTGTTTTATCTCAGTGATTGATAGTTAACCTAAAGGAAAGAAAACTGTGTGTGAGGATCTAAGTGATTTATGAGTTAAGGAGTCAACTGTGTGTTATCTCAGTGATTTAATAGTTGAAGGAGAAAACTGTGTGTTTTAATTAATTGACAATAAGGGAAAGGACAGGGACAGTGTCTAACTTTTCTCACTTTTTAATTTTTCTCTTGGTGTGAATGAGTGATTGATGTTTTCTGTTGAAAGTGACCATTGCACAAACGGTCACAGTGAACGCAGTAACTTGGGTCGCGTAGGACGGGGTCACGATTCGTGCGTACATTTCCCCACCACTTGTGGTTGAACGGGGAGATACCACGATCTGACGCTCTAAGATTACGCACCCAATTGCTGATTTTTTACATTGATATTGATAACACAAGGCTTGTAATCTAGACGGTAGAAAACATGGCATCTGTAACATTAGATGAGTGGATAAAGGGGATTATGATATTCTAATCTCAGGAGTATCTGAAGAGGCATGTACAGAAATCACTATGAAAGTACTTAGAGTAGTGGCAGAAAAGGGATTCAAAATTGATTATGACAAGTGTGCATTTGTAAGACAGAGAGTATCGTTTCTAAAGACTTATCTCACTTCAGAAGGAGTCATGTGTGACCAGTCAAGACTGATCAAACTATCAGAGTTTCCCAAACCAAAAACAGTGAGAGAAATGATGTCCTTCATAAATACGGCAAGCTATATCAGGAAATAT